TATTTAACATTAAAAAATAGAAATGAGAATATTGTAAGTGAAGTAGAGTGAAAATATGGGTGCAAGAATAATAATAAAAGAAGCTAAACGCAATCAAATTAAAAGATTTATATGGAAGATATAGCGACATAAATAAATATAAAAAATGATTCAATTATTTAAGTAAATTAATATATACAATTACACCACGATCTTCTAGATTCTATTTTATTATGATTATTTATTTATATATATATATATATATATATTATATATATATATATATTATATATATATAATATAAGAAAAATCTCAGTGGGTATCCCCACAAGTCGTCTTCTCTTGGGTTGTCAAATAGATCACATTAGATTTTCCATATATATATAATTGGACATAGATGGGAATAAATTAAATAATAATCTAAAAAAATAGAGAATCATGAGAAATTAGTGAAAATTTGTATTGTTTGATGACATGAAATAATATGTTTAAAGCTTAACAGTGTTATTTTATATTGTGAAATAAATAAAACGTGTTCATAAATTTTAAGTTGTAAAATATATATATTATGCAACAGATATATGTGAGATAATGATTTAAATCGTAGCCTCAATGTATATGAAAGAATATGTTGAGATTGGTGCTCATTGGTTCTCATGTGTGTATGTATGTGTATAGGTGTGTATGTATGTGTGCGTATGTATGTATATTTATGTGTGTGTACGGTTGGATTTCGGTGAAAATAAGAGTTATGATAATAATGTGAAAACAAAAGCGTTTACCAAACGTTTGTTCAGATAAGCGCTTATTAAATCAAATTATCTTAGTACCTTACCAAATGAATATGACAATATCGAGAATCTTACTCAGTAAGAGTGAACGTAATGACCGAGAAACTTACCCAGTAAGTGAAGGGGGATCACTTTTACGTGGTTAGTGCTTATCACGTAAATTATTGCATATGATGTTGTTTTGATGGATTAAAATCTTACTCGTAATGTAAGTGATAATATTAAATTTTACCCGTAAGTGTTTATTAGATAAGTGTTTGGGTAAACGACCCTTTATCTTTATCATCATGACCCAACTTTCAACAAATTAATACAGGTAAAAGTGATTAAGGGTGTGCATATATTCGTTATAATGACTTTAAAGTGAAAATAAATTTGAAAACAAAGGTAGATGAATACAGTTGAAAATAAATGAATATAGTTGAAGGTACTAAATTAATTTTTATCAGGTTTAATTTATTTATTTTTAAATGGAAAAAGAATTTCATTATTGTTTCCTTTGTGGAAGCAATCCGGATTATTTTAAGTATTTAAATAATAATTAAAACTTTTATTGAATTATTTATAAATTCAAAAGTTGCATTTATTTTCAAAATGAGTGGAAAATAAAAGAAAATCAGTAATGGGCCGGGCTGGCCCGATGGAAAACAGGGTTAAATTTTCAACCATGGCCCATTGGGCTAAACATTTTTGGGACTTCAAAAAACACACATATATGTTGTTCAACACGAAAAAGATCCATTATTGTATGGGCTTCTTTTTATTTTAACCGATATCCCTACTGATGTTAACTCCTTTCGTTAAGTATGAGGATAAAATCGTCATTTTTTTCTCTTTGACTCTCTCTGATCACGTTCATGACCACCTCTACTTCCAGCGCCACCTCCATCGTTGCGGAAGTGCAGAGCCACCGCCACCTAATCCCACTCATTCCCTACTTTATTCTACTGCTCTCCATCCACTGGCGGCATTGTCTCTACCAATGTTCTAAAATAGTGTGAGATGTGGCATGACAATGCAATCAAGTAAGCCTTAGGAGCCACGACGAGACCACACACGTTTTTCAAAACACAAATCATGGCAGCAAATCTGTATATCATGTGTATAATTATGTATACACATATTTTGTATATCTATACTATATTATAAAGTATTTGACAAAAACTCTTAAAAACCATTTTTATGCATGAACTACTGTATTGATGCACATTATTTAAAATTCAAGATTACAAGTAAACTGTGCAAAAATACAACTTATTAAAGCTATATGTTTGAATTCGTGTAACTAACCGCGGATAAACATAATCAAATAGAGGATAAACATCTCATTTTTAAATATAAAAAATCTAAAATATAATTATAATAATTATTGAGTTCTAACAGAATACTTAATAATTATCTTTATTAAAAAAATATTATTAAATCTAAATTAAATTATAATAAAAAATTTGAATTAAAAAAGATACAAATAAAAACTTTTAAATAGATAATTTGATATTAATATTAATATATTTTTTGCAAATTTTATATGATATTTTCAAATTTATATTTTATTCAAAAATAAAAACATTATCGCTTTTCTTAAAACCACATAAAATCGTATCATATTGACATGGATAAAAAATAAAACGAAACATTGAAATGAAAAATGTGTCTCGATGCATTCCATGAGTACCTTTCTAGATGTTATTTAAAGAGTCAATATTATTGAACAATTTAAATTAGGTTATATATCAAAACCAAGAGCATCTTGAATGCAGTTCTTATATTGGCTCTTTAACTATTGTAGGGAGTCGAATATGAAAAAAGCGTCACTTTAATGCACTTCTTACGTTAGTTCTCTACATTAATTTTCGTTATCTATGCATCTAATAAGCTCCCTACGATGATTCTTCATTCTACATTATTTTATTATATATATATGTACGTCATGTCGTGTTTTCATTTTGCCTTATGCAAAAAGTAAGAAAAGTGCTATTAAAGTAACGTATGTTTGTCATGTTATATGCATTTTACTCCAAATATTAGCTGAAATGTATGGAGTAGGATTGGAGATGCTCTAACAAGTAAGATATTAAAAGATAAATAAATCACATAGCATATTACAAAAACTGTACATTGAGCCATGGCGTACCATGAGCTTAAAACGGTATCAGAGACAAGTCTTGAGGCATGGTGCGCCACAGCGGTTGCCATGACGAGTCTTTTAAAACACTGACCACCGCCAACGAAGACCAAAACACTGGCCATGTGCATCTGCTTCTGGTGGATCTATTTCAACCCCCTTCTTTGGAAAGCAGTCAACACACCGTCATTGTAAGTGGGAGGATTGCCATTGCTTCACTACCCCTCATCAAGGGTTGGAGGAACCATTGCACCAACACTGGTGTTACTTGCCCCTTCTTATTGTTCATGATTTTATCGATTTGCCCCCAGATTAGCAACCCTTTATGTGTGTGCTTGTGTTGTATCCATCTGAGCTATGTTGCTCAAAAGTTTAGAACCTGATCCCTTTCCCCAAAGTTTAGATCATATAAACTTATCTACACTAGGCATGGAAGAAAGCACGATAGGAGGCATGTCTCGAACCTAGGTGACAGCAGAGAACTTTAGGATAGGTTTGAAAGGAAGGAAACAATAAAGGCTAGGTTTCTACAGGAGCTATGAATCAAGAAAATGCCTTGACTAGTAAGCAAGAAAATAAATCGATTCATTTGCCAAGATCGATGATGAGATCCAATGGTGGTTCTTGGAGATGTGCGTGAAGAAGATGAAGACAAAGGGAGATGAGAATTTCGCAAATTGACTTGGCAAACTTGTGGAATCACGTTTTCCAGGTTTTTCTATTAGATCGTGGGTCATATCTCATTCGAAAAGCAGAATATGCGGAACTTTGCAGAGCAATTTACGGAATTCCTATCTATTTCTTGAAAAACGACTATTTCTTACAACCATTTGGCCAAAAATATGCTAGTTTGGTGATTTTTCCTTGTTATTTTTTCTTTCTTGAAGGTAAAATGTAATCGTGTGCATGAACACTTGACAGAAAAAGATTGACACAGTTATCAACAGAGATTAAAAATCAAAACAAAAGACATGTCATAATTTTTTTTTAAATAAACAAAGTCGAGGAACAAAACCAAAAAACACATGACAATTTTATGGGGTTAGCTCAACTGACAATAAGACTTGAGCCTTTAATATAGATGGACCTGGAAAAAATTTCAAAGCGTTGACATCATTTGACTATAAGAAACAAACATAGAGATTTTTTTTCTTCACAAAATCATCATTAGTCTGTTGGTTAGTTCATTGTTTTTCATATGTGAGGTCATGTGATCATGTCTTCTATTGCAAAAAAGAAATAAATTCAGAAACATAATATATCTGAAATTAAAAGCTAAAAGACTAAGAAAATGACATTAATGAGATTTGAACTCGGTATATGGGGTGGAAGAAAATCCTTGCAAACCAACTATATCAATGGAAAAATATGTCTTCATTGTAGTTTCAAAATATATACGATGACACTTTTCACGATCTTATAATCTTTAACACTACGACGGAGGAATGAAGCGTTGGCCATGCCACCACACGGGTCTGTCAATGGCCTTTAAGGATCTTCCTCAAAGGTCATCTGTTCGAGTCTTGCAAAAGCCACTGAAGATTTTCTTAACTGTTCTCCAGAACGCCTAGAATTAGTCGAGATGTGTATAAATTGGTCTGAACACTTGCAGGTAAATAGAAAAAAGACCATTATTTACTCAAATACCTATTTTAACAAACATATTTTAAAAATACATCAAATTTTGAATTAATAAAAATATAATCCCAATTAAATTCAATAAATCTATCATTTTCTACCAAACTTTTTTACATCCGTCTTTGATACCTTAAATCATGATTTTGTCTCAATATATTGTTTGTCGTGAAAATACTATTATGCCCCTAAGAAATGCATGCGTGTCTCTCATTTATCACGTACGTCAAGGGTAGAAATTGGAAAAATAAAAAAACCAACATTGTGATTGTAATATGAAGGCCAATTCGGCTACCACAACGCTATTTCTCTCTCTCTCTCTCTCTCTCTCTCCCGTAATATCGTTCGGTGGCTCATCGGCGGCGAGTAGAGTCAATGCCTGCTCAAAAGCGTTCCAACGATTCTGTATATGAGGATGAGGATGAGGATGATTTTGAGCTGCAACGCAATACTCAGAATATTTCTGAAGAATCCGAAGAAGACGACGTAGAACAAGAGGAACAAGGTTTGTTTGTAAACTTTCTTTTTGTCTGATTATTCTAGTTATACGTTTGAATTACGTGATTTACTGTTCTACACTCGTGCCGGTTGTTTGATTTTTGGTTTTTTTGATCAGCAGAGTCGGATGATGATGGAAGCCCTTCCTCTAGTTGTAGTGACAAAGACGAGTGTGTTCCCCTTCTCTCTCTATCTAGATATATACATAACTTGCCCTATGTTTTTGTTTGAGTTTGCTTTGTGTCATGAGATGTGATTGTTTAATTTCATCAGCGTGGTTTTTTTATTGTTGGTATAGTCAGTTGTGATTGAAGATCTGCATGCTTTTTAAGTTGTGTTATATGAATTCAGTAAGTGCGCGTTTGTCGCATTGACAGTGCTTAATTCTAGTAGAGTAGTTGTTGGATGTTAGAATGAATGGATAGTACTGTAAGGTTTTATTAGATATCCCTCTCGTTGCTTCTCCAAATGCAATTTCAAGTTCATATTTCTTCTATTTCGTAGTTGTAAATTTTGGTTTCTTTGTTTAGCTTAGGGAATTGGTTTGGATCGTCTTAGTTCACTGGAAAATTCGATGGCACTTTTATGCAAGTTGGTCTACGGAACAAAAAATAATTTGGATCTGAAAAGTACCAAATTTGTCATCAAAACACGATTACGTTTCTGAGCAAAGGGAGCGTTTGATCTTCTGGTGTGATTTGGGTTTACAGAGCAGTAACTGTAAAAAGTTTAAAACTAGATATAACATGGAAACTTTAATCTGATATACATGTACTTTATGAATGTGAATATGGTTTATATTGTTCTGGAACACCATGAATTTGCATCAGTGCTAAATTTGGAAAGCTAATACTATAGTCAACAGAAATTATTTAACAAAAAAAACTAGCCAGTTTTTTTTTTTTAATGCTTGACAAACTTTCTAAGTAAAAATTAATGCTCTATCATTAAAAGTAAAGCTATTCATAGACTTCATATATTTAAGTCATATACAGCATATGCCACTAGTAGATATAGAAAATGAAATGTGTAGCTATATACTTCATTACTGCCATTAGACTACCTATTTGATAATTATACTGTATACAGGGTCCTGTTATACTCTCTTTAGAGGTAAAATGAGAATTTAGGCGTTTTAATTGGATCAAAAAGACCCTCAACTCCTAAAGGACCAAACTTTATGTTCTTAGTTACCGCTAACAAATTCTCAAATTTTATTTCCTTGTATAATTTTCTACGTACAATGCAAAAAGAGTTATGCTTGCTTTCTGTAAGTACTTGCTGCAAACATGGGGAAAAGGCTAACCAGATAATCACCATTATTGATCCATTGGATACCCTTGTTGCTACTGATCTTAACCAGCTTTGACAAGATATAATAGAAATAAACTACAAATATGCTATATCTTGAATTGGGGTTTATATATTTCTACAAATTCACGTGTAGGGCCTATATCATTATCGGGTGATGCAAAGTAGTATTAATGATTACTGTATAATGCTTGACATGCTACAACTCCTGTCAATAAAAGCTTCAACTTCATTTTGTCTACGAGGAACCATGGTTTATAGGTTCTTCATCCACTTACCATCTTCTCTTGTATGATGAAGGCTCTTTTCAAGTATAAGATATGAAACTTCTTCAATTATGTTTGTTAGAAAAAATATTATTTATGTTTGTTAGAAAAAATATTATTACCATGATTAATCATTATATTAAAGTTCACACTTTTTGTGCCTACCACTCACAAATGTTCTTAGAGCACTCTGAAATCATTTCCTTTTATCTTCTTCCATTTCCTGCAAATGTGATGATGCTTGTAATCCTCTGGTAACATCCAAGTATGTTATTGATTGTCTTTATATGGATGGCATTGGCCCTCCATAATAGCCTTTAGGTACTTAGGTATTGAAAAGCTGGGGGTTCTAACCCTCATCCCCACCTCAACAAGTATAAAGGAAAACGAAAAATAAAAATGTCCCAGAAAAGGAAATATAAATTCATTTGTGTAGTAGACTAGCTTTCAGTGGAAAGTGTTTCATCTTCCTTTATTTTCTTGCTGCTTTTACTTACCCTGGGATACCTTTGGTACCCATCCCAGTTTTGTTTTGTCCTTGTTTATTCTCATTGTCTTCTCCAAAATTGTATGACAAGCTGGGAAAGGATTCCATAGAGGTGCACTATGGAGTAGAGACATTGGATTGAATTCTACTTTTTGATCATTTCCAATTGGATGATCAAGCAACTTAATTGTATAATTCCCTCTGTTTCTGATCACATTTATATTTAACTTTTGAATTTTTTGTAAAACGATTTCCTTGAATATACATAGGGTATATACATATGCGTACATGCACACATGCTTGTTTCATGCCATACTTGTTTGTCATAGGTATGACCAGTAAAAACAGTATTAGAATTATGGTTTAACCTGATTGAGATATCTGAAAAAGCATACGGTTCAAAGCAACCACAAACAACTACTGTGGGACAGTTGATTTGTGCTAGCAGAAACAGTTGCAACATATTGTTGCAAGTCATATTATTTGAGAAAGGTAATGAAATTGATGTTGCTCATTCAACAAACGTGTTTATGATGGTAGATTTTCATTAATTCATTGTGTTTGGACTGTGTTGCAGGTATGTTTTTGTAAAATTGGCTGATGTGCGCAAGGAAGTGCAGTGCCCAATTTGTTTAGGTACAGTTTTCTTATTTTATTTCACCGTGTTATGATTTGGATATTTTATTCAGCATGGTTTTGGAGTATATGGTGATATTGTTTGCCTGGAGGATATGCTAATTATAGAGTCTAAAAAATGAAACCACAATAGTTATTTATAGACATAATTTAGTTTTGGATATACCATTCGTTCATCCTAAAGAATATGGCAGGCATTCTCCCATGTGATACATACATGTGTTGCATTTAGGAAAATACCGGTTTCCATGGCAAGACGCTCATAAAATTAGTGTTCCTATGGTAGGGCAAAAATACCTTAAACTCATTTTTGATATACAACCTAAACTTCATTGGTGTTGATATACATTGCGGATTTGTATATGATCCAAGGGTGACTTGACTCTTTGCCAATTGGTTTTGATAATCTTTACATGTTATAGGAGCTAACACTTTATTAACGTAGATTCTTTGTAGCAGCAGCAGCAGGCTATCATACATCAATACAGAGAAGCTTATGTTATTCTTTTAAATGAAATTATTTCACCCTCCCGTTGACACACTTGGCGTACCTAAAGGTGGGACTCACACTCAGGAGTTTTAGGTTATCATGAGTACTTAATGCTTGGAACTGCATCCTGCCTTAACATCGCAAATTGCCTGACAACTTGTTATATGATCACCACTATCTGCCTGAGTTGTTGAATCTCCTTTGAGTCCAGTCAATTGTAACAGCCTTATCAGAGGACAACACCCTCCCAAATACGTGTTAGATCCTTAAAGCTTATCAATGCCTTTGCCTCCAGTTTTACACTTTTGACAGTCTTGGAGGACTAAGGTTGAAGTTCCTTTATTCATATCTACAACTGATTGTCGCTAAGATTTACTTTATTTGTTTTTGTTGACTGAAGTTTGAGTTTCTTTGTGCACCCTAGACCTCAAGAAACTGGGCCTCATCATATCTCCCTGCTTCATTTTGATTCTTCCCTGACCTTCAATTGAGCTTTGGTTGGTCGCATGCAATAATCTTTGTTGCATAATCAGTGCTATGGTCTGCCCAAGTCTGTTCTGCTTTCTTTAAGAAAGTCTATGATCTATTTGAAGATATTCTTGTGAAATTTTGGTCATGTAGTGAGACCTTGATTAGTGAGATTTTCATCTATTTTACATATGAAAGGGATTATTTATTTTATAGTCTAAAAAGTTATTTCGAAATGTGCAAAGAGTTCTGGGGCTGAGTAACGAATTTCTGGAAAAATAATTGCTTTTTACCTTTTAGAAATATCAGGGACCTTTACATAAAGTTCAGGACGTCCAGGAGCTTTTTCATCATGTTGCTTATACCAGGCCTTTTTATGTAATTCTTTGCTCCAACCATCCTTAATCGCCCCTAAGTCAGTGGAACTACAGCAAGAGGTGGGATTGTGACTAGCGTAAATGAGAGTTCAAGTAATGGTCTAGCCTCCATGAGTGCAACCTGATGTGTAGGAGATTGCATATCTTTGGATGTTCCCTTCTTCTTAGGTGTTTCATACTACTAGTATTATAAAAGAACAACGAGGTTAGTCATCTGCTTGCTTTACTGCATATGTCAGTCATAGGATTATTGACATCAATGCTTCTGATCAAATGACATGGAACAAAGATGTATAAATCCAAAACATCTGAAGCTTTCACCAATACCACATGACATATGCTTGGTCTTGGTCCATATGGGACCCCTTAAGAAAGTTATTAGGAAATAAACTAATTTAGTCTTCAGAAATCAACAGTATGTAATAGAAGAGCAATATAAATACCATCTAGGGCATCTTGAAAATAAAAGAGGTCTCTTATAATCAAATTCCATTAGCACAAGAATGCCCTTAGCTACCAATCAAGTCTTCAGTTGGTGGAGACAACCACCAGGATGCAACTTGACTATAAACACCCATCTCTATATTCTGTATACACAGTGCTGTCCTAGTGAAGGAGATTGAAAACTGATGGCATGTTCTGCTGAACTGTAACCATCCTGCATGGCCATACACCCTGAAGTGCTTCTAAGAGATTCGTGGGAAAAAAGTAACCTCCAATAGCTGAGCTAAAGGCATATATCTGGATAAGACAGTTGTCTAGACCATATAGTTTTGGATATAGTGTTTGTTACAAAGGCTATGGATAACAGGAACAAATGTAGTTGAATGGAACAGCAGGCGGGTTACAGTGTTGCTGGTGAAAAAAAGGGGCAATACCTGATGATTCCCCTAATCCTCTAAAGGCTTAGAAGGGAGCTGAACCGTTTATCTCTTATGAAACCTATTTATGCATTAGTCGCTTTCCCCCCCTTCAAGAATAAACCGTCCTACCAATAAGCAATTCAAGGCAGAGGAACTGGGTAATGTGACTGGGAATTTGGAACTCTTTTAGGGGAATCAAAACATGAATAGTACCTAGATCATAACCCACAATGATTGATGTGAACACTATTATGGGAGGTTGAGTATCATCTATTTAGGATCCTCACCAGAATTTGAAGGATCTATTACTAGTATACTATGATGTCAGTAAAAGACTTCCAAGACCTATACCAGGTGTTGAGGTAGATTTTAGATTCTCTTCAAGTAGGATTTTAACGTGTGGTGTAGAAATAGAAACTCTAGCGTAGGTAGAACAAGATGTAACTGGATACAACTGACACGAGACAAAGTGGATTATTTTCTGTAGGTGGGACTATATTATGGGGGTCCTTATTAAATAGCTGAACTTTTTTATCAGCCAGATATCAAGAATGTATTTGCTAAAGATTTTCATAAGGTGGAGGTCTATGTAGATCAACCACATGATTTTATGGTTTACGAGGCTTCCGACTGTTTTGTCGTTTTTGGCTGTGAATCCTAGAATCCATTTTGCATGGATCCAGGCTTGAAAATTGCTTTGCATGCATGTGTTATTATGTTGTCTTTGAAGCTTGAAAACCTTTCTCAGAAAGCTAAACCTGTCATGAAGACTTAAATGTGATATGAGAATGTTTACTGTTTAACAGAAACTTGCAAGTAATCCAAACTTGGAATTTAGTAAATCTAGTTGAATATGCATATTTTCCTGTGCTTCAGTTTTCCATTTCTGGATCTTCATCAAGGTTACCATATAAGTTAAACACATAGTTTTATGCTGGTTTTTTCATATGCCCATGCTGTGAATTTGTACTGTATACACCATTAGAGGATACTGTTCATATAATAGCAGTTGAGAATTCATGACAAAACACATTTTAGAATAACACAATTGAAAGTTATGATATCTTCATAGAACCAAAACCTATTGAAGGCTTTATGTCAATGTCAGTGTGTGATTTCTGGGAAATGCATGTTTGTATAGGAACACTCTCTAAGTGTGGATGGAAGTTCAATATTCCATGAGAAGCATAACCTACAAATTTATGTTTCAGACGAGATAGTCTTTGGTCCAAACACTTCTTTAAAGTTAGAGGACTAAGCACCATTTTTCATGGATAGGTATAATTCGGAAGACCAGAAAGGTTATGGAATGCCTTCATCGCTTTTGTCGAGAATGCATAGATAAGTCCATGAGACTGGGGTATGTATTATAATGTTTGGCTGCTTCTCTTCCATCAGTCAGCTGGTCTTTATGATCGTTGTTTTCGTTTTACGAATATGCAACAGGAACAATGAATGCCCTGCTTGTCGTGCTCATTGTGCAAGCCGCCGCTCCTTGAGGGATGATCCCAATTATGATGCCCTGATTGCAATCTTGTACCCTGACATTGATAAATACGAGGCGGAGGTACAGTTTTACCTATTCATCACTCATTGTGGCGTAACATTATGCTTTCGATATTGTTAAACTGTCCATGCTTTTATGCCCGAATGCAGGAATTGGCCTTTCATGAAGAGGAAAAAGCTCGAAATAAACAGGTGAAGTCTATTAATCTTTTTTACTCTTTCTCCATATTCCATTAGGCTGCAGGTCATTTCTTTATAAAAGTGAAAAAGATGCTAATCTTTGGTAAGAAAATGAAGTCCCAATAACTTATGTGGTGGTTTTACTCGACGTGTAGTGCTGGACTAGAGATAGGTGATTCTTGATTCTTCTGGACTAGTATCCCGACTGTTTTCAGTGGTGTAATGCTGTAATGTATATAGATCTGTCAAAGGTCCCATAATATACTAATCCTACCAAAGGGTCATTGGCCAAGTGATACCCGGGTTAACTGTAGAGCCTAGCCTCCTAAGAGGTCAAGGGTTCAAACCTCGGCAAATGTGAGGAGTGTGCGTGAGTATTTGCCGTATATAAAATATTCTATACTCTATATATATATATATACCACTTCTGTTCAGATTTAGGTGTTCTTGTTTGAATAGACACACAAATCATATAGAGTAAATAGGGACCTGAAGGAGAATCTGACTTACCAACTTCTTGGGTAGTGTGTGCAAAAGAAACAATGCTGATTCTTCCTTTGACCAACTTGCAAAATGATACTCCCTCCTTCCCTAAATAAGTGTCAACATTTCTATTTTAGAATCTCCGATAACGAGTGTCCACTTTCAAAAGTAAGTGCCTACTTTCCAGTTCTACCATTAATTATGAGATGAAGAAATTCATTACTCCCTCTATTATAAAGGGTGAAATAGTGTAGTAATCACACATCTTTAAAATTGTGTGCCTTTTTTATTATCAACATTTATTTTGGAGAGGGACCGTCCCATATAGAAGTATACTTCATGGTTCTTAACTTAAATAGCATGACATTACAAATTATGCATAAGCTGAAGTTATAATAAATAAACTTTCACTATATTAGTCATGTTAAACAATTTAGATAAATCATAAGACATGAAAATAATTTTAGAAATACGAACGATACTTTATATTGTACTTTTGGTAGTGGAGTGAGTGTATCATAGTGAAAATATCAATTAAAGTGTCTACTTTTTCAAGGACGCTTATTGTGGAACAAACTAAATGGTAGACGCCTATGTGGCACATAGGAGTGACATATTTAATGGAAATACCAAAATGGTGCAACGTTATTTGTCTGAAATAATGGGCATCTTCTTTCATAAACATAGAAACTTGTGAAAGATACTCAAAATTAACTGCAATGTAAGTGAACATGTAAGGCGAATATGCACTCTTATTTTGTTAATCTGTTGCCTGATAATGGCCTCGTGTAATGCCTTTTGGGAGGTGATAATGCAACAATCCATGTCCAAACCATATTCTATCAATACAACAAAATTGGCTTTATAGCACATCAAATATGTCTAAATGTAAACCACAAGGGTTGTGGTGGAATATCCCATCTGCCCTGGGTTCAATTCCAGGCGTCGCTACAGCTGTGGCCACTCAATCTATTAGGACTGATGTCTTACAGTTACAGTTGCAATTTGCCGGATTAGTCTGAGCGTAGCCTGGGACACCCTTCCAAAAATATGTCTAAATGTCTGAATATATTGTTTTATAGAACTTAGTTTATAGGACCAAACAATTGTGTGCTATACAATAAGGTGATAGGATGTTTTTGGGCATCCTATAAAGTTTTTCAGGACAATTTTGAAAGATAGTGTCCTATTAAGTCTTTTTATATAAATATTATATAAATAAGTGTCCTATATATAAAAAGCTAATGAAACATTTTACTCCGAAGTGTTAAAGAAAAACTTGTTAGGATGCCCAAATATGTTTTTATCAACTAATCACAACTTCTTTACGTACGACACACGATTGTTTGGTTTTATAGTTCTATACTCAAGTCATATAAAGTAGTTCGTTATGAAATTTGGAAAAATTTGGCATTCTATGAAGCCGATTTGCTAATACTCATGCAAGAAATCTTTATGTTACGGAGTCACCTGAACAGATCCAAGCATCGATTGCCCAGACTTCTCGGCGCCAGCTAGAAGCACTGGGAAAGAAGCGTGCAACTGCTAAAGCCACTGCTACAGCATTTATGAGGAGATCACATGGAAACACGCGAAATCTCAGAGGAAGGAAAAGTTGGAAATCTGCTGAACCCCAAGGTTCTGACAATGAGGTCGACGCCGATAATGATATTGGCGGCAAATATTCATCTTCTGCAGACGAGCCCACTACGGAAATCAGACCCAAGAGGTACAAAAGATGGTCAGGAGCTCAGTCTTCATTGCCATCAAGTGGTGCAAATGGAGGCTGTGATGACAATGAGGCAGAAACAACCAGGAAAACTGGCGGTGGATCTATCGGGCTTGTTGGCAGCCCAGAAATTCTAGCCTGGGGTCGTGGCGGCATGCGGAGTCATACACGGCATGGTAGTCAAAATGGTAGTGCTGGTAAGAGTGCAAAGAACAACCAACTCGCCAAACTGATTGATCATCTCCAAAAGTTACCGCATAATGATGACAAGGTATGTATGAATTGTTTGTTTGTAGGAAATTATCTCTTGGATTTAGCTGCCTCTTATGGTAATTGCTCAAAAGAAACTTGGTTTCAAGATACTTTTAGAGGATTAGAGCATGTTTACCTACTGCTGACCGTGCTGACTCGTTCAGCATTATTAATTTCACTTAAACGGGTCAGCACAAGATGGTAAAGGTATTTTGTCGGTAATCATTTACTACAAAACACTTTGGGGGCATTTGTAAACACAAACTGGGTAAGCACTTTCTAGGTAAAGAGTCATCACCCTCGCTTACCTTATCGGGTAACATCAAAGTGACATAGTATAAACGTCTCTTACCCGTTAAGCGCTAACCGGGTAAGAGTCACCACCCTTACTTACCGGGTAAGATTTTTGGTTAGCAAATGGCACGAGAAGATTGTTGGTAAAGACTATCATCTCTGACCAGGTAAGCATCTCTTCCCCAATAAGAGGCAATAAGTGTTTAGTAAATAGCCCCTTGGAGCAAACAACCATTTTCAATCGGCACTGACCCAAACCGAACCTGTTACCAGCTTAGTGTTTACCCAATGTGCCACTAGGGTGTGCAATAACTGTTCTTATTCAAATTTCCCATTTTACCCCTATACCTCACCCAGCATTGCAATCATCTTTCTTTACCACGATAACGCACCCATCATGAAGGGATTAATAATTTAGTTGATGCCTTCTATTTTCTAAGTAAAGTTTTGATGACTGTATGGTATTCTCCAGCTGGATCTTCAACTGAAGCTACTGTCATTGGATGAGCAAAATATACCCAATTTGCAGAATTTATACCTTTGCTGTAGCCCGGCCACGTCAACTGCATATTTCTGCCAGGTAAAACATATTTCTATTTCTAAAGTTCTTTTTACGAAATGAAATACTCCGTCCAAAATAAATATCCACATTTCTATTTTAGTTTGTCCCTAAATGATGCTGTGGTCTCGAATTTTGGAAGGAAATGAAAGAATTCTTTTTTATTTGTGTTCTTGAGAGTGAAAAGAAAGGAAGGAAAGAAAATAATATTTCATGTTCTTGAGTGGGAGAGAAAGGAAAGGAAGAAAAATGTCATTTTACAAATAGACCCTTATCATTTTATAGTGGAATGTAATCGATGGGTATATGTGTAATTTTATAAATATTTTTAAATTTTATAAATTCTTTCCTTTCCTTTCCTCCCACATTTGGGAGGAACGTGTTGAGAGGAAAATCAACATTATTTTCCTTCCCTTTCCTTTCACTCCTTAAAAAAACTCGAGAACATAAGATTTTTTCTTTCCCTTCTTTTCCTTCATTAAAACACTAGAGAACACAGCGTAAGTGTCCACTTTCGAAAGTAAGTGCCTACTTTCCGATTCTACCCTAGAAAAATTCATCACTCCCTCTAATATCAAGGGTAAGATTGTTATTTAGTTGATCAAAAAGTGTAATAATTACATATTTTATAAAACTATATTTCTTTTTCATCGTGGATATTTAACTGATGGTGGTGTTGTGATGTGAAGTATGTTGCTCTTGAGAATGGTTTGCGAGCAGACGAGATCGAGTTATTTCTGGTGAAGGAGGAGGACCATTTTGAAGTCCATCCTTCCTCAGGAGTTGTTACAAATCCTTTGACAGACGAGTTACAACCGTTGGACGAGCATCAAATCTTGTCGGATCTTACCAAAATTTCCAGTCACAACAATCTGGTAAGTACATGCTCATCGGGGGTCAACCTTTGACTTTTACAAAAGTCAGGTCCAGTTGTTCTACCATGTGGGGTAGGCTAGGGGTCTGAACGAGTCGAGCTTTTAACAAGCTATTCGAGCTTGAGATACTTAATAATTCTCGAGCTCGAGTCGATCTAGAACACAAAATAGATATCGTTTAAATTAACGAGTCGAACTTCATAAAATTAATGTTCCACTCGGCTCGTTCATAAGCTCGATTAAATTTTTTTAGTTGAGTCGAGCCATTCGAGCATATATTTTTTCAAGCCAAACATGCTCATATATTCATAAATAATACAATAAAAATATAAAAAATTTCAACCTTGAGCCCAATAAACGAGTTAATGGATTGTGCATACGAGCCCATAAACAAGCATCGAGCTCGAGTCTACATTGAAATTGTTATTCGAGCTCAAGACTGGTATAAATTTTCAAGCCGAGCAGAAATAACCTATTACTCAACTCGGCTTTTTTACACCCTACCAGATCCTACTTATTATGTAAAAAGGGTAAAGACGTCCACCACCATCACGGGGGAGGTAAATTGTGGGTCCCATTTATTCTGCAAGGATGTCTATCTTCTTACCGACCAAAAGTGATTTTTTTTTGGTGTTTGCAGACAATAGCATACAGGAAGAAAGAAGTGCAATCATTGTGAAATTAAAGCATGGAAGGTTCTAGAAATATGAGATGGGAGAGAATGGATGGTAATTAAATGTTAATTTGGTGCATGTAGTAAGTAGAATAACTTTGGTAAATACATCAACCATCTTTCATACTACACTAGCTAATAGTTACAATTACAAACAAATAACTTCTAGATCTTATGTTTCAAGGATATGTATTATGTGGATGTGGCGGACTTAGATTTTTGTCGAGCGGGTGCACCTTTAAGATGGATCAAACGCCTGTAAAGTCGTTTGATCTGTTTTCAGCTAAATTCCACTATTACAAGGGATTTTTCAAGTTTTTTGGTTGATTTCAAGAGACCTTAGTTTTTTTTGGTTGGTTTGAGGTCTGTTTTTTCTTTTGGTTGATTGAAAGACCTTTTTGGTTTATTTTGAGGGTCTTTTTTGGATATTTGGTTGATTTTTGTTGTATTTTCTAATATTCTGGAGCACTATTCAACTTTTAGTGGGTGCATCTTTTGTATCCAAATTTTTTTCAATACAAAATAAGATTGAGCAAATGTATGGGACCCTGTTCGAGATCTAATAACTCTGCCCTTGGATGTATGCATGATGCATGGATACCAAGATTCAAAAATTCAAACAAATCCAAGATGTAAGAATTGTTTAAATATGCACATGGGAAAAATCGAAATATTGTTTTACACGTAAAATAATATATAAAACATATATTGTTATTTCATATAGGGAAAAGTACAATAAAAACCAATGGACTTTCTTGTTTGGAATGATTAA